AAAAACTGTACCTCAGACATGTTTACCCATCCCTTCAGTGCTTTCTCTGATGTCCATTCTGTTTTATTGCTGAAATGTTTTGTGGTGCTAATGGTGACAGCATAAATGATTTAAATGGAGAAAATATATGTATATATATTTATACCGTTCAAAAACTGATTTTTTTTTTCTAAAGAAATTAATACTTTTATTCAGCAAGGGTGTATTAAATAGATCAAAAGTGACAGTAAAGGCATTTATAATGTTACATGATTTCTATTTCAAATAAATGCTGTTCTTTTGAACTTTCTATTCAACAAAGACATTTTCAATAAAGAAATAGTCTTGGTCTCCACAAAAATATTAAGCAGCACAACTGTTTTCAACATTGATAATAGTAAGAGATTTTTCTTGAGCACCAAATCGGCATATTAGAATGATTTCTGTAGGATCATGTGACACTGATGTAACGGTTTGTGGCTGTAGAGAAGCGCACGACGCAGGAGTAATCCAATAGAAAGTCTTTATTCCAACTTAAACTCAGGAGAATAACCAAGAGAAAGGATAACCACAAACATCTAAGCTCAAACTAATACAGGACAAAGGAACTATAGGGAGAACACGGGGCTTAAAGGAACTTGAGACAAACGAGATAATTAATAAACACAGGTGGAACCCAATGAACTAATAAAGTCACACAGGAAAACTATGCAAGGCAGGTAGAACAGAAACACAGGGAAATATAAAAAGTGAGACTGAAGTCTGGAGTAATGATGCTGAAAATTTATCTTTACCATCACATGAATAAATTACATTTTAAAACGTATTAAAATAGAAAACTGTTATTTTAAAGCGTAATAATATTTCACAATATTGCCGTTTTAACTGTGTTTTTCATTTTTTTTAATGGTAATGCATGTGTATACTGTATAAGACACTGGGCTTCAATAACTTTTTTTTTTTTTTTTGCACCAGCGGATTCCTTTCTTTTATCTTGTCCTGATGAATAACTGCAGAATTTATCAGTTCGGCCTCTGGTATATGCAATAGCATTGTGTGATAAATCTGGTTTAAAAAGATCTGCATTAATTAGCACTAGATCAAAGTCTCCTGCTTTTTTTACGTTCTTCTGCTCTAGCCACATGTGGTCCACAGACTCGGCCCAGGCATATGGTTTTATTTAGCTTTGTGGAAAGGTTAAATAGGAAACTTGGATAACAGAAAAGGCACAGAAATTTTGAAAGTTTCTGGGGCATTTTAAAACATACATGTAAAAACTTATCAGTCATTTGGTTTGCAAGTCGGTCTTGGCGTAGACAGATCTTGGCCGTTACACTGCGTTTGTTTCTATTGGCTGTTTAAACACAGTAGTTTGTGTTAGGCTAATTCTCTTGGTTAAAAAGCCTGCACCAGACTCCTTTAGATACTGGCACCAGACAAATTGCAGTGCATTTTGTCTTTTTTTTTTCTTTCTTTTTAAATTTAGATTGTAAGCCTCTCGTTGGGTGTAAACAAAAATACTGAAATGAGTAAGTGTATATTGGAAACACAGTTTGAGCATTAGTGTGGTCGAATAAAAGAGTTTGACTGAGACACAAATACAAAATGACAAAGAAAAATATTTATTGGTTAAATTGCTGTTTCACAGATTTGATTAATGTCCGTTTTTGTTTGATTGCTCGTTTTTTCCACTGTCATGCGCACCATACGACAGCGGATTCCCATGGAATGACATTACATCAGTGTTGTTCTGATTTAAAACCCAATTTGTGCTATTTACCAGATGCAAAATCTTGCCTTAGCCACTCAACGTCCCAAACCCAAGGAGAGCACTGTTAAAGTATAGTGATTTTGCACCTTGTAGTTTGTTGTAAAATAAATTAGTTACGTGCATAACAGAGAACTTTTTGTCATTTTTGCATCAAATAACACTCTAGCCAAAATCTCAGTGCAAACACCATTGTAGCTGAAAAATCCATGAGTCTCTGTAAATGAGTACCAATATACTATGATACACAATTTGAAAAATCAAAACAAAGAATGTCCATAATGAAATTTAATCTACTAGTGTTGGTAGTTGTGGAGCTACGCTGGCATATATATCTTAATATAACTGACTAAATATTAGTCCAGCTCTAAAAAGCAGTCTTCTAAAAAAAAAACTCACATTTGTGACATAGTTAGATTGATTTACAGTACTAAGACTCTATCTCTCAAGCAGCAATGATTACATTGAGTTAAAAAGGTCATTCACTCCAAAGGTAAGACATTAATTCTACTTATTCTAATTCAAAACTAATTAATTCCATCTGCCCTTCAAAAAGAAAAAGAATGACATTTAAAAATGAGAACAAAAATAAGCCTTTCTCTCCCACACCATTAAGGATAATTTCAGCAAAAATCAAAATGCAGAAAAGAAAATCAAGCCGTGTAACAGTTGGTACAGCAGCTCAGTCCACACATAGACATTTCTGTTTCATACCACGACCCAAAAAAATCAACAAATATCATCAAATAACAAAAACCGACACCACATAAATTCAAAGTTTATCAGGAAAATGACAGTCCACTGTGATTAATAAAAAAAAAAAAACTATTTGCTGATGAATGTATTGCTGAAATTTTGATTATTGTCAATAAATATGCACTTGGATGGTATTAATTATGTAGACATGACCTTGAGTAGTAGTCAATCTTCATCTAGTGGTGGATATCCTGTTAATCGTTACGAATAAATAAATATTAATTCATGACTGCGAACACCCTGTTGGACAATGTGGATGTGAGGTCACGTGAACACGTGACGTAATAACCAGGATTGACTGTAGGGGGGGTTTAAAACACAAATCTACATCTACTGTAGGAGTGCAACTTGTAAAAATGGAATCGTTGTGTGGCATTTTGATAAACCCAATACTAACAAGCACAACAAAATCAATCACATAACCAAGGCATATTCTGGTGGGCAGAATTGAGAGACGCGCCAGGTTTGGCCCCACTTGTGCCCCTTTCGAGTCCCCCTGGCTGTTCGGTTGTTAGGGCATGTTAGCTCTGCTAGTTTCAACATCATTATTAATGAATAGTACCTCCAGCATTGTGAGTAATTTTATGTCTCTGTATCGACTAGAGTCTAGTGTGAGGAACTTGCGCGGATGAAGCCCCGCCCCCTCATTACAGGAAATGAACGCGTCTCATTGCCCGTGTCAGTCCTCTAGTGTCGTGACGTGGCACCAAGTCGCACAGCTAGACGTCCAGGTCATCAGGCCTTGCTCGACTGCTCATTCGGCTGCTGGCACGGCTGCACGGCCGAGCGTCTATCAACGCCAATGGCTGTAGCTCGTGGCCCGGTGTCAGTTTCTTGTGCTCGTGCGTGTTGTCAGGGTAGTCGAAGGCCTGAGCATGCGAATTGGAGATGGTGCTGCCATTCTGGCCCAAACGGTTCTGTTCTGTGCTGTAGTTGGCCCAGTTCTGCTCGTTGGCTTGCTTGTTGTAATTGCGACAAGAGTTGGTCCGTTCGCCGGTGGCTAGTTTGTAGCCCGGAGGCGACATTGGCGAGAGCGGCGCGGTCGGCGAGGAGCAACCGTTGTAGTAGGCGTATTTGGTTGTGGACAGTTCCTTTGGCGTGGGGCTCAAGGTGCCGGTGGGGAACTGGTTTTGGCGGCCTTTCACACGGTCCTTGATCTGTTTGAAGAGCACGTAGAAGAGCTCGATGATGTTGAGCATAAGTGAGACAAGCGAAACCACCAGCATGAAGATAATAAAGATGGTCTTCTCCGTAGGGCGGGAGAGGAAGCAGTCCACCCGATGAGGGCAAGGCAATCGCTCGCATGTGTACACAGTGGACAGGCTGAAGCCGTAGATGAACCACTGGAGCAACAGGAAGCCCACCTCAAAGAAGGACTTGAAAAGGATGCTGACGATGTAGGTGCGCAGCAGGGCACCCTTCATCTTCACCTTGCCGTGCTCCTCCAGGCCGTGCTTGAACTTCTTGTGCTCGATCTTCTTGAGATGGAGCTCGACGTCACCACCGTCGTTTTGCACGGCCTTAAGCTCCTCCTCCTTGCGGTTGAGCTTCCCCTCCTTGCGCATCAGGTAGAAAACGTGCGCCAGGTACAGGAGCGTAGGCGTGGACACGAAGATGATCTGAAGCACCCACAAGCGCACGTGCGAGATGGGGAACGATTTGTCATAGCAGACATTCTCACAACCGGGCTGCTGAGTATTGCACTTGAAAGCTGACTGCTCGTCACCCCAGGCCGACTCCACTGCTGTTCCCAGAACTAGGATCCGGAAGATGAAGAGCACGGAGAGCCAGATCTTCCCTCCGGCCGTGGAGTAGGCCTGCACCTTGTCAAGAAGTCTTCCCAACGCACTCCAGTCACCCATCTTGAGGGAGTTCTAGCTGAAAATAGAAAGCTGAGATGTAATTAAATGTATTTAGACACTTTTGGACACTTCAGTGACACTTGAATATGTCTGAATGTCATTGCATTAGATGCAAAATATCAAAGTGATATGTCTGAACGGATAATACTTCAATTTGATTTTTTTTCTATTATTTTTAACCAAACAGTCCATCACTTTTAGTGGATGTCATATATATATATATATATATATATATATATATATACTTCATATATATGTGTGTATATATATAAAGTTATGTAATGCTAAGCAATTCATACATTTTGAAGTGTGGCTTAAGTGGCCACATGTAATGTATTTTTCTGTACATAAAGCACATGATGAAAGTGTTAGTTTCAGCACCTGCTGAGGATGTTATTATGAAAATAATCATGAAAAGTGACCTCAAGATTATCATAATATAAACTACACCTGATCTCGGATAGCTCAGATAACAAACATGTGGCTCACACACGTAGGGGTTTGGTTTAGGGTTGTAAAGATAGCTGCCAGGACTTGCTGTCTTTTGCTTTGTGAAATAAAATTTCTCAAGCAAATGCTACTTTGACAGAAAGTGAGTCATTATCTGCTGATTTAAACATCTCTGAAGAAAACGTGACTAAGCAGCTAGGACATTGCTTGACTGGAGAATTTAAAGATCCTTGTTTAATTAGCAAGACGCCGGTCCCTCCAGTCACATCAGAGATGTTTAAATAATGAACAATAACATTCACTTGAAATCTGAATATAATTGGGCAGCAAGTCTTTAATTAAATCCTCTGCATTGCATGGAAAATCAAATAACATAAGGAACAGTTTAAGAAGTTCTAAAGAACTGCCTGATTCATGTGGTGCAGGCATGAAGAAGAGCATCCCTTCAATATCCGGGACAATTTGTGGATCTCGTGGCACTAATAAAAAGTTTAAATGGGGTATATGGAATGTATATTATGACACTGTTAAAAGTCCATTAAAGACATCACGTGGGCAAACAATTTTTTTTACTAAAACATTATATATTTTTTTTAAAGTATTTTTATTGTTTAGACAACAAATGGGCAGAAATTTGATTTGTGTCTAATAGCTCAGTGTCACATTCTACTGAATTTTAGGTAGCTAAATAGCTAATAACTGTTACATTTATTTAAACATATAAAAATCGAATTACACTGATTGCACAAAATAATGTAGGAATGTCTGGGAATTGTGGGAATTACAGGATCAAGTCCTGTAACAGTCAAGCCGCTTACCATTGTATTGAGGGACTGAACAGCGCCCCCTACACGCGCTATTCACGACGCAGTCGAAAAAGATCGGTTTTCACCAGAAAGTCGTATTATAGTTGTAAAAACAAAGGAAGAAAAGACCCAAAGTTGTTTTTCATCTTATTCTATAAATAAAATTGTGTTACAATTAAATTCATGTTTTTGATTCCTGTTTACGTTTTTCTTCAAAACTTTTTTCCAGACACAAAGTTTCTGTTATTTCATTTTTGTTTTAATTACTGAAATGCCTATTAAATTACCTTTTTTTTCCCCACCTAACGTGTCCTGCACAGCAGACGTGAATAAAATGCTGAGCGAAAATATGATATAGCCTATTGAACCATATTACTAATATATTATATGAATCATATCATAAAGATTCCGATAATTTCATTAACTTCAAAGCTCACTCAAATGTTGCTCAAGTTCAAATTGAATATGACAAGAGACATTTAAAACTTAAAAATTCTTTAAATGTAACTTTCCACTGTGTTGCTCAGTTCTGAATATTAGTGCCGCTATGAAAAAAATAAATAAATAAAAAGTATTACAAAGTTGTAAGACTTTCTGTAAAAAACTTACCTGGAGAGAAGTAAAGAGAAGGAGAGCCCTGTAGGGACTTACTCCGTCACCTCTGAAGATCAGTCACCAAATCCAAGTAAGCGACTATGGAGAAACTGAGGCACACTTGTCAAACTTTCCCTGTTTATAAGAGACTCAGAGGGAAGAAAGTGGAAAGCAGACGCACAAAGTTTGGCAAAGTCACGTGACTGGCTGCGTCACAAGAAAGAGGTTTTTTTAGGTCCACCTCATGCAGTTTTTCACTTGGTGAGCTTCTTCAACTCAGACGAACAAATGTTTCTCTCGAAAACTTTATGAAATTGTTGAAACTTTTGACAATCATAATATAATATAAAATGCATATAATAATATATATTATAATATAATGGCATTTCTGACGTGTTGATTCTACATATGTAATCTGGCTGTCAGGAAGTTTTTATGATTATTTGAAAAGAATAGACCCTAAAAGGGAACGTTTGTTTTCTTGAGGTAAATAATGTGAATATAAAATCATACTTTTTTTTTTTTTTTTTTACTGCCGTTTTCTTTCTAGGCCTATATATTTTTAGTAAATATTAAAAGTTATTTTATATGTGCTAAATATTATAAAATCATGTGCGTGTGTGTATTTACATTTTTTTTATATATATATATAATAATTTAATAGCTTTGTCCCTGGTGTCCCTTCTTTATAAAAAAAAACTGATACACAGCCATCTTCATACTTATCTCACTGTTTATTCTTATTGCACAAAAAGAAAGAAGTTGGTTACACATATTTCGTGCTGCATGCTTTGTGAAAATAATATTTTAAAAGGATATAAAAACTACAGTACATGAGACAAAAAAAATCACTGGCCTTGTTGTAGTGACAAGATAAGGGTTAGTGAGTGCAACTCAAGAAGATTACAGCGCCATCTAGTGTTTAGTTAGCAAAAGTTACAATCAACATTTCTTTTTTTTTTTTTTTTCCTGAGGCTTTGTTATGTTGATTAAATTGTAGTTTTTGAATTAAGTTGATTATATTAGGTATGTGCATCTATCATCTTACCACGATGACTTATTGCCTTATGGCTCAGGTTTGGCTCCTTCAAGGCTGCCTTTGCGCTGACCCCATCTGTTCTGAAAGGCCATGTTTAACTCATTGTGACTCATTCCATTAGCAGGATCAAGTGGTACTGAAAAAGGTGAAGGATAATGGGAATCGCCAGTATACATTGCATTCCTATATTTCTTATTTCTCCCACTTATCCTCCTACAAAGCAAATAGAATATTTCTAGAACATTTAAGGCCAGAGACACACATGCCACCACCAACATGAAGATAATGAAGACCGTTTTCTCTGTGGGTCTAGACACGAAACACTCTGTCTCTACCGTACAAGGCAGCTGCTTACAGTGGAACTTACGCTCCATGATAAATCCAAACAGATAATACTGTCCAACGATGAAAGCCACCTCTAAAATAATTTTAATAAACAGCTGGGTCAAGTAGCTACCCAGCATGCTTCCTTTGATTTCAACCTTCCCTTTTTCGTTTGTATATTTTGGTGACTTTGACATCGGGTTTCTTTTCTGCTCCTCTCTCAGTTTGTTCTCTTGGTGGATGACGTGCACCACGTGGCCCAGATACACCAAAGTTGGAGTGGAAACAAAGATGATCTGCATGACCCAGAAGCGAATATGCGAGATGGGGAACTTCCAGTCATAGCACACGTTCTCGCAACCAGGCGTGTTGGTGTTGCATACTAAGTTGGATCGCTCGTCACCCCACACATTCTCCGCCGCTGCTCCCAACACCAGGATCCTGAAGATGAAGAGGACGCTCATCCATATCTTGCCGATGACGGTGGAGTGGGACTGTACTTTGTCCAGTAAAGCTGAGAGGAATCCCCAATCTCCCATGATTGGTTGCTCAGGGCTTTCTCTGGAGGATAAACAGGAGATTTACACTGAATTATCCACAATTAGTTTCAATAAGAAACCATGGTGATCTAAACAATTTGGGGGTCAATCGAGTGAATTCACGTTGGCCTTTTTTCCCAACTTTTTATTTTTATTTTTTTTAAGCCATGTTATAAGCAAACCAGGTTCTTGTTATGATCAAAAAGACAAAGGAATATGGAAATTGTCACCTTAAGGCCACCATGAGCGTTACAGCATGAAAGAACAATACAGACCTGATCAAAATGACAATAACAGTTGCAGCGATTAGATTGAGATTTTCATAGACTACTGCCCGCTGACCATTTTGCTGTTGTTTTCACTTCCCAAAAATCTTAAAGAACTTGCTCAATATCTTATCCGTTATACAACTTTCATACTCACCAAATAATATTATGGAGAAAAAATGACGTGCCTTGTAAGCTTGGAGTATTTGTTGCCACCCTATAAAAATATAAAATCATAATCACGGTTTAGAACAAAATCGAAGACAGGTTGTGTGGTGTTTTGGTTTATTGAGAAAACCTGAAACCTTTGAAGCAACGTTACTTTTAATGATGTTTCTAAAACGTTTTCTGTAAGATTTAATAAAGATAAGATTAAAAAAAAACTAAACTCATTCTATTTAAGATATTAAAATTGTTTTATCTGTAAAATATATTTCAAATATATTTAAATATTTAAATAAATGAGAAAACAAAGTTATTTATTAAATAACTCAATAATCTGTTGAAGAAAAGTTACTTTTGAGTGATGTTTCTACAATGTTTTCAGTAAGATTTTATAAAGATAAGTCTGGGACTGCAGTAAAAAAAAAAAATCATACTCCAACAAATTCCAAATGATTCTTACCTGAACAAATGGATCCGGATGGTAATTTCCCGTAAAGCTACAACTACTACTAAAGATCCTAAATATTATTTTAAAATTATTCATAAGCATGTATTTAAATAAACATATTTCCTTCTTCAGCTTCCTGAGAAAATGGTTCATTAAAATGGGAAATATCTGTCGGTTTCAATGAGGTCACAGACCCTCAGACAAGACTTGACTGTTTCGATCAGTCATCTTCTCTCTGTGAAATGTGATTTACCTATATCTGAAGGGACACTGAACGCTCCACCCATCTGTATGATGAAATAAACCAGTTTAAACAAGAATTTTTCACTTCTCTGTTTTCGTTCTTGTTAGAACCACTGGCAATTAGTCACGTCATGAGTTAAGTTGCAGCACACTTTCACACATTGGTGAAATTCAGCTAAATCATCAGCTTTGTTTCTGTCGCTAGGTGGAAGTCTGTCTATATGTGATGGTGGTGTGGTGTAGTGGCTAAAGGTCAGGGCTGGTAAGGTTGCTGGGTTTGAGCCCCATGAGCAACAACAATCACTGCTGTGGCCTTGAGAAGACATTTAACCACTGATTTGTTTTTTTGTTTTTTTTTTCAGAGTGGCTGTCCCGAAAAAAGAATAACATTTTCTGCTAAATTAATACAAATAATCAATATTTTCACACTTTTTGTGTAAATTGACAAAGCTTGACTGAAAATGATGCTAACGAAATTATATTTACCTTGATTTTCTTCACGGATCACATCTTCATTCAAGATCTTCATTGACACTGTTGTCTCCTTGGTAAATATGTTCACTGACTTTTTATTGTCACAAAAAAAAAAGGCAAAAAAATTAAGGCGACTTGAAGTTTGAGAGAAATTGGAGCCAAAATTGGTAATTGTGGTGGAACTGGTGTCACAACTGTGGAATGGAATATGGGTGGGAAAAAAACACAAAACAATTCAACTCTTTGTTTTGTTCATTATAGTTTTAAATGAAATATTTTCTAAGGAATGATTGATTTAAAGTTTAGGTAGTTTAGTGAAAATAAATCAAGTCATAAATCGTTAAAAGTGACCTTTAAATAACAAAAAAAAGTTTAAATCTATTAGTTTTAATT